CATGCATCCTTTCTCCCGGGCCAATCACCCCCATCTTCTTCAAAGGTTCCAGCGCGTCGTTGCATGCCATAGTCACTTCCTTCTTTGTGAGGAGACTCCTCGGATGTGGTACGTTTTTCGCATTCTTTACAAAGTCTCGAATCCCTCCAATGTCGTCCAATCTAACCTGAACATGCCCATTGTATCTAGGCAGGTTGAAGTCTTTGCAAGTGCAGGTCTGACCACTTCCTCTTGCAAAGCGCTAGTGATTATGCAGCATGTCCCCGACAAATTTCTTTTTCTGCCAGACGGTTCTCATTCTGCCAATCAACAGATTAGATAGACAGACTGGAGCAATCTTCTCCTTCATCCATTCTTTAGCACATGCATGTACTTTCCTTTTACTCACTGAATCACAAAAAGGGAGCTTAATAGTAATCCTGTGTCTGGGGTTAATACCAAACAATTTATTTGTGACTCTTGTGATAATACCCCTAGTGATTTGTCTTCCTCGATTGGTACTCAACAGTTTAACTCCCAAGTCTAATTCAACTAATTCCTCCAGATTCTTTTTATACAGTCCTTCTCTCTTCCATGGTTGTCTGAGAATGGTTATCACTTCAGCTTTAGCAATCTCAGATCTGCTTTTTGTTTTCCTCAGATCCGTAATATACCATTCACCTCCCATTTGGATGAGATGCTTGGCGTCTTTCAGCAAGCACGATCACCCCCCAATTACCACTTTACTATGGCCATACAAGAGCATGACCAAACCCCAAGACTTCAGCCATTGCTCCCCTTCATTATTCACCAACAATATTTCCCTTTGGTGCCTTGCGTGCTTTAGAATTCTTTGGGGGTCAGGCTCAGAGTGCATTCCTAGTTGTTGACAATCAAAAAGCAAAACATTTTTACAACACACCCCTTTGCCCCCCGCCTTTAGTTTACTTCTAGGTTTCCTCCTGGAAGGTTTGTTTTTCTTTTTAACCATGTTCAAGCCCGGGTTCATACACCCAATAATAAATTTCTCCATACTCGCCAGTGCGTTTTTATCCCCAAACCAAAGCGGTATGGCCACATAGTTGCTGGTGCCTACCTTACCCAACCACCTATGTACTTTCTGTCTCGGCTCGCTGCCCGCAGATCGAACATGTTCGGACCATCTGGTATGCAAAGCCCTCTCTGTCTTCCCAACATAGGTGAGCTTAAAGAAAGGGGAAATCAAAAGGTAAACACAACTATTTCCAATCAGCAAGGTAGCCCATTCATCCTCCTTCAGATTTATCCAGTACTTAGCGAAACTCCTACCCCATTTTATATCACCTCTAAGGCACAATGTTATGACTAGCAATTTTAATAAATTACCAATTTCACAACTGATACTCCCTTCGTAGTGACTGGCCCAACCGGCCTGTTTCTTACAAGCTCTCAACACTGCACGCTTACTGGCATGCTTCAGTTTCTCGCTATGTCGTCGTCCTGGGCTTCTTCGTCTGAGCTGGAACTGCGTTCCGATGAGTCCTCTGATCCTTCACTCACCTTCTCATCATCAATCTCTTCCTGCTCCTCCACTATCTTCTCCATCTTCAATAGCACCTCAAAGTCAAGTCTGGCTAGCTCTCATACCCCTGCCTCTTTTCGCTTGTATGGTACCCCCTTCTTCTTGCACAATTCCTGTATCTCGGTATAATGCATTGCATCGTAGTATACAACGCGATCTTTGAAATACAGGCCCAACACACCTTCTTCTGTTTCTTTACCTTTTCCAGATTTTTCGCCTGATGGACCAGCCTCTCCTTTCTGTCCTGCATGCTCCATCCCAATTGCCACATTCATCGTCCCCTGCTCTCCTCCCATATTGCTGCTGCTTGCATCTTTCCCTTTCGCTGCAAGCAACTCCTTGATGAGGTCTTTCAATTCGGACACCTCCTTGCTCCCTCCTACTGATCTTTCCAACTTACTACTTAGATTCTGCACCACTGCGTCCTGATCCTTGCTGCCTTCGTCCGAAGATACTTCAACTGGCTTTGCTGTTCTACCTTTACCTGCTATTCTCAGCAGGTTTGAACGTGATCTGACCTTCCCTTTCCTTTTTGTCGGAGACCCAGTATCCCTTTTTCTTTTTTCAGAGCTCGAATTTTCTCTCAACTCTCTCATCTCTTTCTCTGCTCTCAGCAATTTCAGTAGCTAAAGTGAGATTAACCAATCGAAATGAGGTTATTGCATACATTCCTCTTCCATCTCAGCCACCTTTAAACTCGACTTCTTCTCTACTTCCTCAAGTTTCTCAGACAGTATCCTTAGAGAACCCCCAAAGTTTGAGGCTATCCACTTCTTCATTTCCTCCTCCTTCCCTACCTCATCAACTTTCCCTTTCCCTTTGTCTTTGCCACCTTGCTTCTTGTTTTTCCCTTTACCTTGCGTTTTATCTACTCCGGTGTCAGGTACTTAACCTTTTTTCTCCTCAACCTCCCATCCAAGTCCTCGTAATCTGGCAATCTCCTCCAGGTCCTTCTTACGAGCTTCCTCCACCGCGTCTTTCAGCTTTAATTTCTCGATGAAGTCAGCATGTTCTCGTGTGAAGAATGCATGAGGTTGGTAGCTCCCGTTTCCACGGCCATAACCCCCATTGAATTGTCCCCCCGCCTGTACAGGCACCGAGTTCGGACCCCCAACTGCCCAATTCGCAGTAGCTGGGTTCAGTCCATGACTCATCAGAAATGCATACGGAGGGGTGGTATTCGGGAAGGATTGTGGAGCAGGGCAAGGATGCGGGTAGAATGCTTGAAAAAGAGGAAACGATGGAGCTGTTGCAGACTGGAAAGGAGGCAGAGGTGGTTGAGCTTGGGGAGGTTGTGGAGTTGTATTCTCGATCAGGTACCTCCCACAGTTCGACCACCTCCCCCTCCCCCTCCCTCTGCCCTGCGCCCGCATACGTTGCCACCTCCCACGTTCCGTAGCTTCCTTCCCCACGTATCAGAAGGTAAGTATCTGCAGTCAGAGAATAAATAAACCAGAGGAATAATACTTCGCCGGTTACCACTAATCGAGTTACAGCGAAATCACAGAAGGAGGCTTGGATTCAAGCCCGTCTCTACAGGGCTCGCCACGTGTCGTCAAATGCACTCACTCATCCAGGTGCATTGTCCACCAATAGTTCAAAACCCAATCCAACCTCCTCCCGGCCTAATCTCTGCTTTCCCCGATAAGACGCGATTCTCACACTAAGTGTCAATTTCCATCCTCACGCAGATCCCGATATCATTATATCCCCTCCCCGTTACTCATCGAGGAACAACTCGCGGCACACCCTCTACCATACCCAGAATTACACGCGAAATAGGAGATGACTCGATATTCAATTAGTTGTATTTGGCGTTCCCACGATAATCATCAATGATGTGATCGGTCGAAAAATCGTCACCTGGAGTATTACGGCCGACCACCGCACATAACACCCGAAGACGAGGTACCTGAAGGCGAAGCGAGACGCAGACACGCGCGCTGTATCCCCCTTTTTTTAGATTCACAAATCCGACGCTCGTCACACGTGAAGAATGTGCGCCAGCATCCGGGGGCGGCTGCGGCGAGATACCTGCCATACGAATACGTTGCCGTACCTCCCCAACGGAGTCCTCATCAATCACTCACGCTCGAAGTGTCCGCAAGGGCGGCATCTCCTTGCCAAACCGTCGATGTTCGCAAGAAGTAGCGTAACCCAATACTTTATCGTGCGCATAGGTAATCGCACCTATCCGTCACACTCCACCCTCGATTCTACTCTACCACCACCTACTGCCCAACCACGTATTCACCCCCTCGTGTGCCACAATCAAGACACCATCCAACCTCGCTTGATCTGACGTTGCTGCCCCCCAAAATCCCTCAAGCCGTCCGGCCTCGGCCGGCGAAGTCCTGAGCTCCTCCTAAATCAAACGCACTCTCTTGGCTAGGATTCAGCCATGCCCGGCATGTCAGTGGCACAGGCTCCAGCACGCCAATCCGAAGTGAAAGAAAGAAACCCAACAAGGCTGAGGCCAACCAAAAGGCTGCACGATGTGAAAACGACCCGCCAACTACCAAGAGTATGATACGAAAAAAGATAATCCCATGTGAAGAATAGAAAGAATAGAAAGACGCGAAAGAATGCTCATCCGCAACCCGAAAGTTACCGATGGCGCTGCCAGATCGCTACCCCAAGCTACTGCACTGTCGATCTTGCAGCTCTCTTGCATAGATACAAAAATCAGGTGTCCATGGACTTTACGTATCACAGCAAAGAACACCCAACAACGCTGGTAAAAAATGTCCAGCGCTCGACCCTTCTGTCTGCTGCTCAGGCCGAGAGGAGTAAAAACTCCCGGTAACTCTCTTTTATCTACTACGTACGCCACTCGGCCACACCAGTGCCGACTCAATGTTACTCCCTACATGACCGTTGGTAACAAAACCCGGCCAACTCAACAAAGAAAAATGGAAATTAAATAAATGAAAACTAAAATTACATATCGGGAATCATCTCTCACATCGATCAGCCCTACTAGGCCGACTTACCAAAGCCTCGTCATTATTTTCCTTTCCACTCTTTTTGACTGCTGGCCGGTGGAGTCCTTTTTGAAAAAAGGGTTCCAACCTTGAAAATCCGTACCCCTGCAGCCTTGCCTTAAGCCGCTCCAAGCCCTGCATGTCATCTCCCCGCTATCTCGATGTCCTAAATGCCATGCTATTTGTTTGTTTTTGTTTTCCATTTTCCCTTTTTTTTCAATTTCCTTCCCCCCCCCCCATGACGTGGAAAAAAATATAAAAGAAAATTGCAAACAATGCACGTGCGTCTCTCTTTCTCTCTCCCTGTCTCACACTCTCTCTCTTTCCTTCTGTATGTGTGTGTGTGTGCTGTCTCTTATACACATCTAGATGTGTATAAGAGACAGGCCGCAGCGTAGCTGCGGCGGGTCCACTTGTTCAAAAAAAGAAAAACAATCGAGTTGTTTAGTAAAAAAATCAAGTTGGCCACTACTTTCCGAAGAAATCAAGTCCGTAAAAGAAATGAAAAAAATTACAAAGTTGGCAACTACTTCCCAAAGAAATCAAGTTGGCTACTTTCCAAAGAAGTGCAGTGCGCCTCCGCACAAGCGTTGTTGATGCCAACTGTCTGAAGGTCTTCGGCACTCGAAATAAACTCCAGAAAGTCAGACTTTGCAAAGTCAAACTGGTCCCAGCCTTGCACAGAACGACTTTCAACAGTGCTCATCCAAACCAAGCACAGTTTGACTTCAACTTTGAGCTGTGCCCACGCCAGCCTCTGCATCCCAATGTCCTGAAAATCCGGCATCACACACAAGCAGGCTGGCAAAGGAACAGTTATCTTATCTGTGCTGTTTCCCCACCCACCTCCCTTATCTCACTCTTCCCGCTCCCCCCTGCCAACGCACAAAATTTTTAAAAATACTTCTCTAGGCCTGCCCTCATTCTATTCTGGGAGCGGAGGAGTGGGGAAGACAGGAGGATGACAACATCGATTAGATCACCATGCAACTAACACTGAATTCTGTTAGAAGCTTCAAGCAGGTGTGCCTCCTCGCCAATAGATTGGAGCAATACTTCGGGCAAACAAACAAACAAAAGAGTTCCCGTAGCAGCACAAACAGGGGAGTCATCCCTGAGGTTGGGGCTTTTCTTTTGTCTTCCTGTTCAGAAGGGGGTGGCTCCTAGCATTGTCATACATTATCCATCTGACTCCATTACGATTCAAACTGATGATCTGTTCATGTCAACGGTTAGATGCACAGACCATTCATAGCCAGAGGAGAGGGAGTCCTGAGTTCAAGGCATATTTAACTCCGGGCAAATTCCTTCTTGGCAAGTGGCATAAGTACAAGTGCGAAGGAGACCATGGGGCCAGCACACACAGGTGCTATGTTGCTGCTCCAGAGGCATGAGTCTGGTCGCCCACATGGTCCAGAGGCATGAATCTGGTCGCACACACGGTTTTAACTCTGGTGGGGTTGCTGCCCCTCCCCACAGATAGGTTAGCCATATCTAAGATCATGAGTCACTTTCCTCGTCAATACTGAGGGCGTAAACTCACAAAAGGAGATTTTTCAACTGAGCTCTGGACCTGATTGCAGTCAGATGCATCCAGGTGCTACTGTAATTGCAGTCCGATACATTTAGGAAAGTGCTAGTGCTAGTGTGTGCATGCCCTGACTCTCGGTTTCACACACACGGCGTGCATCATATGCCCAGGATCAAAACACCAGGAGAAAGATGTGGAGTTCTTGCACTGCTGGCAGTGTGTAGAGGTGTCAGATGTCAGATCCATCACAAGATTCAGTGCTCGTTTCTGCCTGACGCACACTCCTGCATGCAACAGCTGGCGAAATGACAGCTGTCAACCTGCCAGGCTTTTATCTCTGCGGCCGCCTGACATCTGGCAGGAGGGCCAAGAATGACAGACAGAACCAACCTGGTTATCCTTGGTGACCACTGGCCATTGGCTTCCTTGACTACCGTCTTCACCCGAATAGAACACCCAGTCATCATATGCTGTATGAGGGACAACTTTCAGTCCAGATACAGTGATAATGACCGGGCATTCTACTCGGGCAAAGACAGTAGCGAGCACCTCTAGCTGCCGTTGTGACTAGCGAGCATCATCCACTGCCATGTGGCAGAAGCAGAGGCATTAATCGAATGCTTCTGCAGTAATCGCATATCAGCGCTTACCTGCGTGGCATTAGTATCAATAATATCCACGTCACACAGGCAAGTTTTCTTGTGTCACACACGCAAGTCACGCATGTGTTTCTTCCTCTTTGCTTCACTTGAGGTTTAACGGAAGTTTCACCTCTTTGCCTCACTTGACTCCCGAAGCAACGACCGGGTGCAGTGCATCATCCATGATAGCTCCTCTGAGGAGGCCATTCCTGTTGCCCGCCATCGCACACGGCCAGCCTTATCCAAAAGGAGTATGTACCTGCTCACCGGCCACAGGGACAAGCAGAGTCATATCAGAAATAATAATCCCTGTTTCTTTCCTCGTTTGTGTGTGTGATTATAGGCTGTGGTAAGTAAAAAACAAAGAAAAGACACAAAATTCAAAAGCAAACAAACAAACAACAAGAAACAAACCAGAAGCAAAAGTCCAACAAAGTTGATCAGCAAGAAGCAAAACCCAAACAATCAGATTTTCAACTTTTCAGGAGATGCCCGCACCGGAACTTTTTCAACTGCCCTCTGGAGGTCATTGCGGTCAGGTACATCAAGACCGAGCCGTAATTGCGAACAGATATATCGATGGCAGGCTGCAAAACTTGCGGTCAGATACCTCCAGAAAAGTCCTGGTATGAGCATGCTAGTGTGTCTAAGGACAACGGTAATCCGATTATGGATACCCTCAGTCACCCCTACTCCTCCGCCTCTTCCCCAACATCCAACCTACCTATGTCAGCTGATAAGGGACACCCAGCCACCTACCCACATAATAAGGGACACTGGGGGCGTATGCGTTTTGGGGGGAGGGGGGTGTTGGTTGGTTAGGTAGCCTTTTTGTTCGTAGTGGAGGGTAGCCAACACTTACTCTTCCTTTCGGAGAGCAATGATACTGAATCGGAGAGAAATGTACATTTTATGCTTTTCATTCCGAAGAGGCATTATCAACATGTAATAACTAAATACACGCACATGCACACACACACACACACATAACCAAAAAAAAAAAGCATGTATTACAATTAGTAATAAAGCATGTAAAGCTGGAGAAGAGCCATTAGCCTAAGCCTATGTTTTTTCTTATTCGTTCTTCTTGTCAACTTACTAAAACAATTAGTTAACAATGGACATTACTGAAAGTAGAATTCTGGAACATGTTGATAAAGGGAAACAAGATGGGATCCTCACCCTCCTTCCCTGCCAAAGACACACACAAACACACACACACACACACACACACACACACACACACAGA